TTTATGTGCCCGAGGCTTAAAATTTGGGCAATATGAATATTTCTAGAACTCCTCCCAGGGACCTGCGCATGTGAAGGGCCCTGAAGCTCCCTCGCTTCATGGCAAAGCTACCTCTGCACATGCATGTGTTTACATGAACTGTGTGTGTATGTACGCATGAAGGTAGATGAGGAACCCGTAAAAACTATGGTTCCTTAACCAGTAGGGCTCAGTTCCACTGAATAGTGCAATAGAAGCACTAGTTAGTACTAGTCACTGTGTTTTTCTGGGAAGACAGGGAAGATTTATTAAAAATCAAATGAGCTAAGAATTTTTTTTAAATGTCCTTTAAATTTTAGCCATTAGCTAAGCTAGGTACACAGTGCTGTGGCACATGCTCTTTATTTTCAGTAGGTAAATGAATCATTTTTAAACCGCTTCTTTATTCCAGAGACTCTTCTGGGGTTGTTTGTTTGAGACAGGGTCTCACTGTGTCACGCAGGCTGGAGTGCAGTGGTGCAATCACAGCTCACTGCTGCAGCCTCGACCTCCTGGACTCAAGCAGTCCTCCCACCTCAACCTCCCGAGTAGCTGGGACAACAGGCACTCACCACCATGCCCAGCTAGTCTCCCAACTCCTGGGCTCAAATGATCCTCCTGCCTCTGCCTCCCAAAGTGCTGGGATTACAGGTGAGGCACAACACCTAGCCAGATTCTTGTGTTAATAACACCTTTTAGATGTGATTGCTTACATATATGAAAATTTGAAACATACACCAAGAGAGCAGGCTGGGTGTTGAGGAACTAAGGGACACTGGACACGGAAGAAGATGGAGGGTCTTCTTCATTTACGTAGATATCTGCTATAGACAAGACACATATTCTGTGTTACTCCAAGAATCAAGGGACAGGGATTGCAGGGGAGCCAGATTTCACCTCAGGAGAGAAACATTCTATCAACTAGAGCATCCAAAAATGGTTTGCTTGTGGCATTGCCAGCTACTCATCACTGGAAGTACCCAGCCAAGGCTACTTCTTTCTGGGGGAAGGGGAGGTGGGAGACTCTTAGTGAGCAAAGTTTGAGTCCATCTAAGAAACCTCCAGAATCCTGTCTAGGTCTAAGATTCCAACTTATTGGGACACACTGTCACTGCCAGTCATGTGCTCACAGTGCATGCACAGCAAGTGGTCCCCACCTGCATGGTGGTCATGTGTTTGTGCTGAGCCGGCCGGGTTTCCTGACTGAGCCCCTGGTTGCTGAGGAAACACGTCTGTGTGTGGACTGACCCAGCTAAGGCACACTCCTGGGTCTTAGAACTAAGTTTTTTCCTGGTCCAGTACCCGGCTCCTCAGGTCCATGTCCTTCCCATAGTACCTCATGGATGGCATTTAAGATAACTCCCGTTACCTTATTAGTCTCAAAATAGGCTTTTGGTTTAGGTAGGAAACTGGCTGAGTCTGCTTGACCCGCTCTTCCTCCCGTACCCTCCCGGAGAACCCCTTGTGCCTGCTCCCTTGGCCAGCGTCAGTATGGGAGGCTGAAGCGAACCCGTGCAGAAGCCTGGAAGTGTGCACCCGAGCACATATCAGCCCCCCAGAGGCTTAGCCCACCAGGTCAGGATGACGCATCCGAACAGCACAAGACTGGGAGTAGCCTCAGTTAACCTTCTTTACCCTTTCTGTAAGGGGAACATAAAGTTGGCCGTGACCCAGGCATTCCTCCTCTACTCTCCGCGTGAGACCTCCTTAGAGATCTACACACCTGTCCTAAGCTGCTTTAATAATATCAGGACTCACAATGATGGGCGTGTTCCTGGTGAAGGTGGTGGCGGTCACAGCAGTGACGAGGGTTTACTGAGCTTTTCCTCTTTGCCTCACACCATGATGAGCTCATTACATAGACCACCTCATCGAATCCTTACAATGATCCCACAAGGTAGATGCCATCAGCATTGCCGTTTTATGGATGAGGAAACTGAGGCCAAGTGACACTAAGGGGCATGCCCAAGGAGGCACCAGTCTGACTTCATAGCATGGCCTCTTCACTATGCTGCTGTCTGGCCTCAGTTTCTCCGTGTACATAGAGACATGAAAACACAGAAGGAAAAGTCACCTGCCTGCTCTTCAGCCCTTGTTTGAACCACCCCCCAGGGAGCTTCTCCAAGCCAGAAGTGGCCACCAAGAGGGGTCCAAGAGCAGTTTGTGCACCAAACCCTACTCTGGGTGCTTCTTAACCTTTCCGTTCTTTAACCCTCATAGCAAATGCTGGAGGTCGGTGGCATTCCTTGCATTTTGCAGAGAAGTTCAGGGACTTGGTGAAGGTCACCTGGTGCACAGGAGCTGGGACTCCAGCCCAGGCAGCCGTGGCTGTCTTGGCAGTCAGCACCTCCCACCACCACACCAGCCCGCCTGCTTAAGTGAACCAAGCTGAACACCCTCACAGACACTAAATTTATACTTCCTGGCCTCCCCTTCCAAAATGGATACACTAATTACTGACCTTTTTTTTTTCTTTTTTTTTTTTTTAGTAATAGTAATCATCAGGAACACATTTTTCAATGTTTTCATTTTTCTATTCTGCTTACTACCAAAAAAAAAAACATTGATAAAACCCAGCAAGTGTGAGGCCATGTAAATTAGCAAAAGTTCAGGAAGTCATTACACTAAACCAAAGAAACAAAGTGTTGATTAGGGGCTTATTTTTATATGAGATTAAAATATGAATCATTAAAATAGGACTGTATTTCAGGCTCCTTATCCCCGCCTCATCGGAGACATCACCATGACTACTAGTTTGGATTCAATGAATTCCGAAGCCGTTCTCTGCTCTCAAAGGCAATCGTGTGTGCCACGGTTCTGCCTTCTACGGAGCAGTTTGAAAAGTCTGGTGCAGGATACCTCTGTATCTTCTAGCCTATCTTCCTTTAATAAAATGCCCAAGTGACGTGGTGTCTGCAGCTCTTTGAAGTATTTGGCTTTATTTAGTCATGATAAGTCGTGGCAGAAAGTCATCCTAACAGCAACCAAATTTCAAAGGTAGAGGAAGGAACACAAAGTCAAGGCAAAAACACAAGATTCCCTCAGGAATCACTCAGAATAGGGTGTCCATGGAGCTTTATTTAGTGTCAGTGATGGAGCAGTGGGAGTGGTAGAAAAAAAGAAATTGGTCTGAAACATTTCTCAGGTCCATGCTGAGCTTCAAAGAAAAAATAATATAGCAATATCTCCAACCCAAAATATGCCTTGAATTTAAGATGGTAATTAAAATATTTGTTTAAAAATGGCTAAAATTAGAGACAAAGACCCATTGTTTGCTATTACTGTGGATTGCGTATCTGTGTGTGTAGAAGGGTGTAGGGAGACAGTCAGAGGCCTGTGGTATTTTAAAGATTAATCACCCACCCCCAAAGGGTTTTGAGGCACCCACCTGATTTTCAACTTGGATCTAAGTCAAAGGGGTGGGACAAGACCATGACAGATTTTGAGGGTTTTTTGTTGTTGTTGTTGTTGTTGTTTCTAATTAATGACTCTGTGGACACTTCAAATACCAAATATATCAGTACAGAAAGCCGCCTGCTCATCCCAGCTCTGGCAATGGCCTGCCATCTCTAGATGATTTTCCAGAGATTGTGGAACCTTGCAGCAGTGCCTGTGCACATTGTTAAAGAAGGGAAGCAGGCCGGGCGCGGCGGCTCACGCCTGTAATCCCAGCACTGTGGGAGGCCGAGGCGGGCGGATCACGAGGTCAAGAGATCGAGACCATCCTGGTCAACATGGTGAAACCCCGTCTCTACTAAAGATAAAAAAAATTAGCTGGGCATGGTGGCGCGTGCCTGTAGTCCCAGCTACTCAGGAGGCTGAGGCAGGAGAATTGCCTGAACCCAGGAGGCGGAGGTTGCGGTGAGCCGAGATCGCGCCATTGCACTCCAGCCTGGGTAACAAGAGCGAAACTCCGTCTCAAAAAAAAAAAGAAGGGAAGCATCCCAGACGTGCCAGTTCCTTACAGAGTATCTTTAATAGTTACCACCTCTAACCAGATTTGGGAATTTTTTTCATGTTTATTCTTCTCTTGCCTAGGATTGAGGTTGGTTAAAAAGGTATATGTTTCTCTGTAGGGAAGATTTCTATGAAGAATCTATGAGCTGTCATTGGAACCTTAAAAATGTCCTTACTTAATGATTTCATAATTCTTTAACCCAAAATGCAAGCTAAGATGGATGTAAAAAGGACGTCTTCACAAAAATAACAGCAAAAAACTGGGATAGTTTAAATTCCCAGCCATTGTTCAGCAGCTACTGAAGCAGTTTGGTAATGTGAGAAAGTGTCCAAAACCTAATGTGGAGGGAAGAGAGGACACTACACTATTAAACCTGTTTCTAACTATAGAACTCTAGATAGTATTAACAGGGCTCCTGTCTCTCAGTGATGGGAGTATAGGTAATGTTTTGTTTTCTTTCTGGTTTTCTGCCTTTTTAAAACATTCCTGGGGCCAGGCACAGTAGCTCACATCTGTAATCCCAGCGCTTTGGGAGGCCTAGGCGGGTGAATCACTTGAACTCAGGAGTTCGAAACCAACCTGAGCAACATGGTGAAACCCTGTCTCTACTGGAGTACAGAAATTAGCTGGGTGTGGTGGTGCGCACCTGTAGTCCCAGCTACCTGAAGGGCTGAGATGGGAGAATCATTTGAGCCCGGGAGGGGGAGGTTGCAGTGAGCCAAGATCATGCCACTGCACTTCAGCCTGGGTGACAGAGCAAGACCATCTCAAAAAAAAAACAAAAAAAAAGTATATGATTTTCATAAGCAAAAAAGTTTGATTGAAAACTTCACATGGCTCTGACCTTTTGAGTTTGAAGTGCTGCACCCTGTGCCCCGTGAGCTTGGTGAGGGTAGGAGGCAGGCGTGTTCTGCTCTCTAATCGAATCTTTAGCACAGAGCCAGGCACATAGCTGCTGCTCGTTAAATCGTTGTTGGAAAAAAATCTTTCCATTTCTCACTTTCCCTTTCCTTCTTCTTTCCAGGTGATGTGCTCTATGAACTCCTTCAGCATATTCTGAAGCAGAGGAAACCTCGGATTCTTTTTTCACCATTCTTCCACCCTGGAAACTCTATACACACACAGCCAGAGGTCATACTGCATCAGAACCATGAAGAAGGTACTGGAAGAGGCTTCTCTTTTCTTGCCTGAGGTTTAGACAAATTTAAGAGGTTTAATTGCTAACTTGATAAGCTGTTCTTATTCGTGTAAGTTCACTTTTTTTCATTCAGCAAACAGTTATTGAGTGCTTACTATGTATAAGACACTGGGGGAAAAGTCCAGGTGTGTAAGGTATACTCTTGGTTCCCTGAAGCTCGTGATCAGAGTGAAGTGGTGAGATGGTTGTACACATAAGCACAGAAGCATCACTGTATAGCAGGCACCATGAAGGTGTGGTGGAAGGGTCAATGACAGCCAGGTACAGGGAGCAGGGTCAGCTCATACAGGAAGCAGCTCTGGAGCAGGCCTCAGAACAATGGTCCCTAGCCTTTTGGGCACCGAGGACCAGTTTTGTGGAAGACAGTTTTTCCACAGAGTTGGGGCGGGGATGGTTTCAGGATGATTCAAGTGTATTACATTCATTTCTGTTATTACTACGTTGTAATACGTAATGCAGTAATTACATAAGCCATCATAATATAGGATCAGTGGGAGCCCTGAGCTTGTTTTCCTGCAACTAGACGTTCCCATCTGGGGGTGATGGGAGACAGTGGCAGATCATCAGCCATGAGATTGTCACAAGGAGCACACAACCTAGATCCCTCGAATGCGCAGTTCATCATAGCATTTGTGCTTCTACGAGAATCTAATGCTGCTGCTGATCTGACAGGAGGTGGAGCTCAGGCAGTAATGCGAGCAGCTGTAAATACAGATGAAGCTTGATTCACTTGCTCTCTGCTCGCCTCCTGCTGTGCAGCCCAGTTCCTGACTGGCCACGGACCAGTACCAGTCAGTGACCAGGGGGTTGGGGACTCCTGCCTTAGAGATCCAGTAGGATTCTGATAAGCAAGGATGAAGGGAAGAACATTCCAGGCAAAGAAGATGACAGAAGGGTGGGGTAAGGCTTTAGAATAGAGAGCAATTAGATGACTTGGATTATAGAGCTTATCTTCTCTACCCCCATTCTTTTGTTACAACAGATATCAAACATACTCCACATAGAGAGAATAAAATAAATAAACCCCTCTGAGCCATCATCCTTGCTTTCACGGTGATCAGCATTTTGTACAGAGCTAGGCCAAGGAGCTTAGCTTGGAACCAGAGTGTGGAGAACTTTGATTTCTGGAATATGGAGGAAAGAAATGGAAGTAATTGGAGATTTTTTTTTTTAACGGGGGTAATAACAGCTGGAGCAAGGAAATAAAAAATCCCCAAGTCTATGAACTCAGTGTTGGCTCAGGGCTTTCTGCATCATGCACCGAGGGAGGCTGGTTAGCGTGTACTCAGTGTCGGTGTTTATTTCGAGTGTCCCGGTTGTTCCTCTTAATCACTGGTAGAAAGCAAAAGACCAGAACTTAATTTAGGCCCTGGACCTAGTTCCAGAATAGGTGCTGGGGCACAGAAATAGAGTATAAAATCCTTAGTCGAGCACCATTGCGTTAAACCGCTGAACAGCTTGAGCACCCAGTGATGGATCGTGCCTCTGAGGGTCGCGATACCCACATCCTCCTGCTCGGATCGGTCAGACAACAGACGTCTGAAGGTGCACCCACTTCTTCACGTGTACTTTTCCTTAGGTCCAGATTACCAGGGACCTCAAACCCTGGTCCCTTGGGGCATTTCCTTAAATTAATTGATCATCCTCAAGAGCAGGGCTCACATTTCTGTTTTGTTGTTGGCAAACCAAAAAAATGAGAAGTTTCTTGTTTTCCTAATTAACACTTCACAAAGGAGAGCCTGACTCCAGGCGACTGACATCACCTCCTTGTGCCAAGCGTTTCATAGCAGGGTCCCCGGCTTCTGTGGTGGAGAACGAACAGCATTTCATGCACGCTCCCTGCCTTCCTCTCATCCTTTCCTCCCCTTCCTTACTCTACCCTTGCTAAATTTAGCAGCTGCCCTCCTCCCCCAATTCGGTTTTTCATTCCTTTGCTCTTCCTGCCATGTGCATTTCCGGCTTGCATAATAGCCACCAGCCACTCCAGAGAAGAGGAGGTGGGTTTACTGAAGCTTGACATTAAGGCAAGAAATATATTACCTAGCCTGCCTTTCAGATACAAAGGGTGTGTGATGGGTTTTCTCTCTCTCTTCGCATTCTTTCCTTTTCTCATCGTTCTGTTTTTAGAAATCTCATTTGGAATTTCTAACCCCATTTTATTCCTGAGTATGATGGAGGCTTGTGGTCTCTCCTCCTCATGGATCCTTCCTCTTTTGCCCTCGGCCTGATTGGACTCAGAAGTAGGTGTGTTTGTTGTTCTCATTTGCAGGAGCCCAGCAATAGAGAAAGCTTACTCTGAGAGCTCAAACCAAGTAAATACAGATGTGCCACCGCATATGCTGGAATGAGCTTTCTGTCAGTATTATCCTGTCGGTGGTGGTGGGCTCGGTAGGTAAAGGAATGGAGCTGATGAGGCTGAGGTCAAGGGTGCCATTGCCCTGTGGACAAGTTAGCTCTGCTTCAGACCCAGCACTTAAAAGTAGTACATTTCCAGAGACCATTCCTTAAGCAGATGGCCAGGAAGCTGGGTCTGAGAGCATGTGTTCCCCTCCTTTGTCTATTCATACAGGGCACACATGCTCCCATGCACAGGTGCACACAACGAGGAGAGAAGTATAGGTCTTTATCAGGTGGTATCCAGTGAGAAGACCTATCCAAGACACAGAGGCGACACGATGAGGTGGCCCTCTCCATGTCCTGCTTTCAGCTATATGGTGCCCTTGATGACAAAGAGACCAAGTAGAGAGGTGCATGGCTCAGCACAGTTTCCTACCTCCAGCTACTTCCTCTCTCTTTCCCTTCTCCTCCACTGAAAAGAAGAAAATCCAGCTCAACATAAATTGTTTCCAGAATCAATACTGTTACATTTAATTATGAAGGATAACAGATGATTGATGTGGGCATATGTTAACATACAGAAAGATCTGGTTCTGAAAAGATCTGTCAAGTGAAATTATACCTAGCAAATATTACTTCCCCAGTGATTTATTTTACATAACTGGGAATACAGTTTCATACAAAAGTACGTTAAACCAAGATGACACATGTTGCTATCAACTTAACATAGGTAAATAGGTAGGTGGTGGGTAGGCAGGTAGGTTGGTAGGTAGGTAGGAGGGTGAGTAGGTGGGTGGGTAGGTGGGTGGGTGTGTGGGTGGGTAGGTAGGTAGGTTGGTGGGTTGGTAGGTAGGTGGGTGAGTAGGTGGGTGGGTAGGTAGGTAGGTGGGTGAGTAGGTGGGTGGGTGTGTGGGTGGGTAGGTAGGTAGGTGGGTGAGTAGGTGGGTGGGTGTGTGGGTGGGTGGGTAGGTAGGTAGGTAGGTGGGTGGGTTGGTGGGTTGGTAGGTAGGAAGGTGGGTGGGTAGGTAGGTAGGTGGGTGAGTAGGTGGGTGGGTGTGTGGGTGGGTGGGTTGGTGGGTTGGTAGGTAGGAAGGTGGGTGAGTAGGTGGGTGGGTAGGTAGGTAGGTGGGTGAGTAGGTGGGTGGGTAGGTAGGTAGGTGGGTGAGTAGGTGGGTGGGTAGGTAGGTAGGAGGGTGGGTGGGTAGGTAGGTGGGTGAGTGTGTGGGTGGGTAGGTAGGTAGGTACGTGGGTGGGTTGGTGGGTTGGTAGGTAGGTGGGTGAGTAGGTGGGTGGGTAGGTAGGTAGGTAGGTGGGTGGGTAAGTAGATAGATAGGTAGATAGGAATGACAGAATAGAAAGAGAACAAGGCCCGACTCAGCTGTTAAGCAGCCTGGCACAGTGAAGCATGCACAGTGAAGTGCAAACACAAGGCTTCATTCAACCCCTGTGTGATTTCACCTCATCATGGCCACAAACTTAACCAGTTCAGACATTCATAATTCCACAATGGGCATTTATATCACAGTACAAATGTGTCTTGCTCAGTCTAGCACGAGTTCCCCACGTGTATCCTCTATGACTTTCTTACATTGAAATCATGCCTTGTTTAGAAGCCACACAGCAGTGCCAGAAGCTAGAAAGTTGGTGTTAGCTCAGAGGTTCCCCTCCATGCCCTGACAGTAGAGGAGGACGATCATGCTCATTCAAACCCTCTATATGTGAACATTTCGTTGTCTCTATAATGTACTCCATTCTGAAATCATATCATGCCTTGAGCAAAGCAGTCCTCAGATTCCACCTACCGCTAGAAAAGCCAGCATTTTCTTTTTCCTTACTTGTTAGTTATGGGAAGGGAGGGTGATTTTATATAATTAGTTTAACCTTATAATTTTTCACCCATACCAAACCACTTATGACAGGGACACAGGGCTCCATCACTAACTAAGCCAGGACTACAGGCAAAACCAGAACTATCCTTGACAAACAAACGTGTGTGTGTGTGTGTGTGTGTGTGTGTGTGTGAGAGAGAGAGAGAGAGAGAGAGAGAGAGAGAGAGAAATGTTTTAAAGGATGAGATCTGCAAGCCAGAAAACCAGGTCTAACCCTTCATTCTGCCAGAACAGATCCAAAGGGCTAAGTTTCTCTTCTCTCTGGCTCTGTCACCCCAGTTATAAGGAGGGGTTAGACTAAATGGTTTCTGCAGTCTCTTACAGCTCTCAAATCCCCACATTACATCTAAGGAATCTGAGTCTTGCTGGGTGACATGAAGATAAGACATACTCCCTTCCCTCAGGGTCTTGAGCATCTAAAATCCAGAAAATCAAAGCAGTGTCCTGCCTTTTGTTACTCAGAGGCAGGAGGAAAACTCTATCCTCATTTGTCTCACCTTATTAAGAACTTCAGATAACGTTGCCCCTTTGAGAGTATCAGCAAGAGTAGCATCCTTCACTTATTTCATCGTAAGAAGCTCAGTTTAAGGACATTCTTTTCCTTTGACTGCTTTGACTCATTTTGTCTAACTCTAATATGAATTGAATGCAGGTAGGTAGTTTTGCAGAGAAAAGGTAAAATAAACAATGCTATTACTTCTTTCACAGAAACCAGAAGGCAGAGCATCTTTAGAA